AAGCGTTTTCCTCTGCTTCCACTTCCTATTCTAAGATAACTGTCTCCTCACTGTGCAGTGAACAAGCAGACATAACCACGATATCGAGCCTCTTATCTTCAGGCCAGATCTGTGTCCACAAGGGTCCACGTGACTCAAATATCCTCATCCAGAGCTGCACGAGAAGCTGCTGTCCGTGTGTTGAAACTCTCAGCACGAAAGGTAACATGTGTCTTTGCCAAAATGTCAGCTACTTCAAACGTGGTCTTCACTGTGTGGAAGTGTTAATCTAATCCAGAGTTTGAGTCTTTCGTTGATCAAACCCTTCAAATCTCTGAGCATCGGGGCGCCGCTATAGCTCAGGTGGTTGGCCATGTACAGGAGCTACAGTCCCCGACTCAGCGGTCATGGGTTCAAGTCCTGCTCATGACCCTTTGCTGCAGGTCCTTCCTCAGTCTTCTCCCCCCACTTTCCTGTCTCTCTCTCTCTGTCCTATCCAATAAAGCCAAAGAAATAACAACTGCTCAAACACTGTAAGGCGTCTCTGTGCTACACGACAGGAGCTTGTAATGTTGGAGTAATTCAGCTGGACGCAAACCAGAAACTGATTCTGAAGAAGAAGAATAACAGAAAGTTCCACTCTGCACGTTGACAGGATTGGTTCCTTAGATGTGTAACTTATGAAACTCTGGAAGTCTTTGAGACCGTCGCTATTACGCCACAGTTTCAGGAGGAAATACTCAGCCATGGTGCTTCTTCTGCACATAATGTGTCGTCCAGTATATAAAAATCACCACATACACGAGGTAACAAGGTGAAAAGAAACAAAGATTTAGACCTGAGGGAGTAACTATAAAGAGGTCTTTAAATGGCTGTAAGACAAATGTCAAATGTTGATATTTTATTCTCCAGCTGAGCCATAAAACACAGACTCATCATAAATCATCCAGCGCTGACAGGCAGGTCTCTACTACAAACCAAACCCGCACATACTTTTAACCGGTGTTATTGGTTCTATGTCACAAAGCACATTATTGTTCTCTTGTCTCCACGGCTGATCTCAAGTCATTTCAGGACTCACTGACTCACTACATTTGTTGTTGTGGATAAAACACGCCTCACTCAGAGTCTGACAGTGATGCATCCCTCCCTGGGTGTCTGCAACTTGCAGCATTTTTCCATCTAAGTCCAGTTTTCCCTTCGTTTTCTGTGTAACTATGGATCAGTTGTTGGAAGTCCAGCTGTCAACACTTCTTTTGACATTTTTCACGCGTTTGTGAAACAACTAAAGCATCATTCAGATTAAGAGTGACGCTGAAACACAAACATTACACCTCGACACGTGCTAAAGAAAAGGCAAGCACCTGTCCTTTGCAGCCTGAGGCAGGAAGGTGTTTCTCTGCTCACAGCGAGCTGGTGCTGCTGCTGCTGGGACGATCCTCTGAGGGGCTACGACGTGCTCGGGTTTACTTGAAAGCTCCAACAGGACGGAGGGACTAAACAGCCTGAGGGTCTTTTTCTGAGAAATGCGAACGGGGAAGCCGGGGCTCGAGCAGAGCGTTGAGTGGGTGTCTCGGCCTCTCATGGGGCTTAAAACATCTGGCCCTGGCCTTTCACTTCCACTAAAACCATCTGCAAAAACACTCTAATGTGAGACAGAATCGTGGCCCAAAAGGCTGCTGAAACCCACACACAAGCCTGCGGGTATGAAACGAGAACTCCCGTACACACTGATCTTATTATCACGTGTGTGTGTGTTGTGAGGCTGGCGGGCGGCTCTCTGTCATGTACAAAATGTCATGTTGAGGACTTTTTACAGAGAACGTTATGAGCGTGTTGCTGGTTTAAAGGCAGTTAAAGTCGTGTGAAGAGGTAACCGGTTCGGTTTCCATGTGTAGGTCAAAAATAGAAGCACAAACGGGGATTTTACAAGCTGCTCGGTTGGTGGCGAACAACTTTCATCAAACACTAATGTCAAACTGTCCTTTCTTGCCAGTGTTTGAGTGTAATGGAAATGACAGCACATCTAAGCGCAGCAGCCCCACAGCCTCAAAACCACATCGAGTGCTGCTTTAAAAAAAAACACACACACACACACACACACACAACATACTGACAACTGTCTAACACGGCCAAAAACAACACCACCTGCACCTCCATCTGATAATAAAGCTCGAATTCTTCAATTCACGGAAACATCAAGGCGCAGCTCGTCGTCCCTGCTGGCAGCTCATCTGCCTGTTTGTGTTTCCTCAGGAGCTCTGTGGACGCCGTCGGACGCTTTGGCCATCAGCCTCATTGGAAGTGACACGCTGTGGCAGGTATTGATCCAGCAGCTTCATGTGTTGGTCAAATCAAACATTTACATACAAGACCTTTGCATTTAAAGAAGAAATGCACACAGACTGCTGAGGATCAAGATCAACTGAATAAAAAGGAAATTCAAACAGTCAGCTGTGGTGCTATTAAAACCACCCCTGAGTGTATAAAGGTGACATTTAGACCATAGTTAAATAAAGAATTTGCTCTTAAACTGCAACAATTAGTCGAATAATTAATTAGTTGTCACACATTAAGTTAATTGCCAGATATTTTAATAACACATGAATCATTTAAGGAGAAAAAAAGTCTAAATTCTCTGATTCCTGCTTCGTATTTTAACCTATTTTCCCGTTTTTCCTCCTCTGTGGTGTAAACTAATATCTTCAGGTTGTGAACAAAACAAGACATTTGCCATCTTGGGTTTTGAGAAACACTGACTGACATTTTTCTGATCAAACAACTAATCAATTAATCCAGAAAAATAGTCAAGAATGGAAACACTCAGTAGCTGCAGCCCTGTCTGAGTGTAACACCAGATTAAGTCATGTTAGGAGAGGTCTTCTCCAGTCATCACGCTGAGTCTGAACCAAGCAGTTTGTACATGAAGCGAATTGCTCTGGAGGAAACTGACTCATAAAATCACTGAGCTGTTGTTTCTTCTTTTTGAGACACACAGCAGCACTTTGTCATTTTCAGCTCTTTAAAAAAAAAGAGAATTAGAAGCAAATCTGTATATTTCTGTGTGTGCGTCTCACTTTAGAGGAACAAGTGGTCAAACAGCCACAGGGCATTCAACTCAAGCTGCAATCCTGTTGACAGATGAGGTTGTGAGCACTAATCCCCGCTGATTGGATTAATCAGAACTGATGAGATAAAGTTCAAGTGGCTATTCATGCGTGAAGTTTCACTGCCTGCGCCCTTACCTTCACATCTACACCACTGATTCTGATAAGTGGGGATTCCACGGGGGGGGAAACCACTGCTGTTAATGTTTCTTTTAATATTACAACAACTACAACAGAAAAGATGAGCACTCACCTCAGAGGAATTTTGACGGCCAGATATCTATCAATCGCAATAGCAAGAAGACTAAAGATGGAGCTCTGAGTGAGTACCAAGACAAAACAGGCGAGGAAGAGGCATCCATAAAAGTCCAGATGTATGCCGATGCTGATGGTTATAGCGAAGGGGATGGCGAGGCAACCGACCAGGATGTCAGCCACAGCCAGAGACACCAGAAAATAGTTGGTGGCGTTCTTCAGAGTGGTGTTGATCGCGACAGCCCAGCACACCAGGATGTTGCCGGATATGGAGAGAACAGCAATTACTACTTCAATCACGATGTAGAACGTATTCATCTCAGCAAAGTGTGTTCAAAAAGGACCAAAAGCTGCAGGCTGTTCACAGAGAAGACGGTCACCCACAACACTGTTCCTAGTCCCAGAGGAGTAAAGAAGTCTTTCTGCTGTAATCCAGGAATATTCCACAAGTGCGAGCTGCACAATCAGCCATCTGTGGAGCACAAAAACCAGCAGGTCACCACTTCTGCACTGGAAAGTTGTCAGAGCTGCTTATTATTGCACTATTAATCAGCCTGCCTGCAACAGACAGAAAGTCACTGAACATGTTTCCTCTCACCTTCATGAACCTGTACATCGTCTCTGGATGTCTTTCACATCGACAGCGGCCGATCTGGGAAGCGCGAAAGCTGCATCTGTAGATCTGTATCGCAGGCAGAGTCACACAACTTCCCCCCCAACAGCAGTTTTGAAGTGGAGGCAGAAACGCAAGGAAGAAAAAAAAAGAGAGAGAAGGGGAACACAATTTCACACAGGCCACGCCCCACGCACACACACTCACACGCACATGCGGTTGCAAGTACAGTAATAAGCGTGGAATTCCAAGTGAGCGTCACCGCTCCGCCGTGCGTAATTACGCACCAATTAGACGGCTTTCAGCGACTCCACCGTCCACGTGCTTCCAGTGTAATGTAAACGCTGTCCTGTGTGCACACGCACGGACACGCGGCTGCATCTGGTTTTAATAAGGCAGAAATCGGGGACTCAGGGGAAGCAAACAACCAAAAAACTCGGTTTTTCTTCACGTTTTTGCAGCGATGGCGGCATATTGTTTCCCTTCCGCTTCTGGGGTGACGCAAATACATGTGATGAAGACAGAATAGAAAGTCCTGATTACTGAAGACGGCGTTAAAGAGGAGAAAAAAAAAGCCTCATATTGCTGAAAATGTCTTATTTAGTGTGATTATTATGTGATTGTTTAGTAACGTCGCTACATGATCATTTTTTATTTCCTCACCAAACAGAATCTGTAAAGTTTGTCCTCAGAGCTTCAAATCTGTCAATGATCCATTTGGAAATTATTTACTTAATTAGAATTTTCTCTGAGTTCACTTCATGAGAAACTGCTGCCACAGAAATGTGTAAAAGTAGCAAAGGTGTGTTGTGAAAAGCAGACAAACGCTTTTCCACTCAGTGTTCCCACATACCCAGAATGTTTTACAGTCCTGGCACCGAGCTTTAATGGGCGCAGTGGAAAACCCGTTTAGCCTCCACTGGAGCGACACGGGAGTATATATAAAGTATATATACATAATAGTTCACTTTTAAAACAAACAAACAAGCACTTCAGATGGATATCTTTGTGCCCAAACATTACGAGTCATTAAAGAAAAATGCAAATGATGGTAAATAAGTCTTGACAATCGTTTATTAAGCGACAACCATCCAACAGTCCTCCAAACCTGACATCTGAATAGAAAACTGCATATTTTTCTGTCCACATCCTCAGTATGCATGTCTTGTAAATAAATAAATAACACTTTTATCCTTCAAAACATAAGAGCTTCTGAAAATGGAGGCTTGTTGTGCCCAAATTGTTACAAGTAAAAGCTCCACTCTCCTATTTAACATGCGAAATACAGATACATACAATTTGCAAAGCGGCTGCAGTGCCACATCTGTCGAGAGAATTTCAATGGAAAACGTGAACAAACAGCACAGCAGGGCACAGAACGATAATTTAATCCAGTCAGTCCTTAATGCTGTAAACAACGCAAACATAGAGATCAATCTGTTTTCATAAAAAATATTTGTCTATAAAACTCTTCAGCAACTCTTCAATCGTTTTAGTGTCACATCACAGATGGCAGCTTGGGTTTGTCTGAGCTCCGCTGACTCAAAGACAAACCACGATGAGTAAAGTCAAAAATATAAGAGCTTCAGTTCAACTCAAACCGGTCAGTTCAAAATAGTCTCTGCTCTGCAAAGTATGAACTCAAAGAAAAACTCCGGATTGCTTCCAGTAAGCAACATCTCAGCAAGTTGACCAAAAAAAAAGGTTGGGTTCAGACTTCTACCTGCATGTTGACTGAAAGCAGACGTCACGCTGCGCTCACACAGAAAGGTCACACTGAAGTCATGCATAGAGGTTCTCGTGTAAGTTGCTGTAAATTTGGCACATCTTTAAAAGGTCAGACCGTTTCCCCTCCGAGCATTTGATTCACAAACAACACGGATATTTAACGAGTAATTCTTAGAAAAGTGTTGACAGCAACAATTTTAACTGATTTTCTCTTGAAAATCACTCAGTGACAAATGTTCTCCGGTATTTCTTTACAGAGGAAACAAGAACAAAATGAAACGCTTTCTCCACTGTGCTGTCAGCTGCTACAAGACTGGAATAATATTTTGCACCATAATTTGTTTGTGTGTGTGAATCAAATGCTCGGTTGACGCTGACAGCTTGTAAAACTTGTTTTGTGTTTCCTGACTTTGTAAATTTGGCCTTCAGCACTGACTGTAGTGTTAAGAAATGAGAAAAACGGCAGCTTTAAGTTTCTCAAGAACAGAGAATTCCCTGGTCTGGTCTCTGGTGTCGAGCAGGAGAAGGTTCGGCGTGGCAGCGCTCGGCCAGTCCGACAGAAAGGACGCAAAAGTGCTGCAGTGCCTTCATCTTCATCAGCTCCTCTTCCTCACCGGTCAGGTCTCAAAGTACTTGTAGATCTGGGAGACGTACTGCATGACGCTCTGCCAGTCCGGCCGGTCCGTCTTCATCAGCTCCTCGATGTCCTGTTGGACACACAGACGTAGAAGTGAGTTAGAAGCTCCCCCACCAGGCCAGTGCTGAGATGCAGCATCACAAATCCTGTGTTTGACATAACATGTTCTATTTAGTCACGTTTGATCACAAGTGTCACCATAAATAGTGGGAATCATTATTCTGAAGTCAGCATGGATAAGAGTGTCTGCCATGTTTAGCAGCCCTCTCACACACAGCCACCACATTAAAACCATCTGACTAATATTGTGTAGGTGTCCCTCCTCTAAACAGCTCTGACTTGTGGACACAGGACTTCTGAGCGTGTTCTGTGGTATCTGGCACCGGGTCATTGGCAGAATATCCTTTGGGTTCTATGGGTTGCTGGAGTGGAGCATCCATGGATTGGGTTGATCCAGTGCATCCTGTGGATGCTCAATCCAGATCAGGAGCGTTTGGTCAATGTCTAGGGCTCTTTGTCGTGTTCCTCGAGCCCTTCCTGATCAGTTTTGCAGTGTGCTGCTGCTACTGGGTACAGGTATTGCCATAAGAGGGTGTGCTTGGTCTGCAGCAATGTTTAAATGGGTGGTACGTGTTACATCCACATGGATGTCAGGACTCGAGGTTTGAACTGTAACGGGATGATCAATGTTATTCACTCCAACTGTCAGTGAAGGGCAGCAGAGTGGTGCTTATGTTCACACTGACGCCTCACAGCTAGAAGGTCTGGTTTGAATCTTGGCCTGGGCCTTTCTCTGTGGAGTGTGCATGCTTTCCTTGTGCCTGCATTGGGTTTTTTTGCAGGTCCAAAGACAGTGAATGTGTCTTTGTGTTAGCCCTGTGATGGACTGGCGACCTGCCCACTGTGGACCCTGTCTTTCGCCTAATGCCAGCTGGGACAGACTCCAGCCACTTCTCTGCGACCCTGTACAGGATGAAGTGGTGTATAGCTAATGGATGGAACATTCAGTGGTTTTATTGTTGTGGCTGAACGGTGTTTGCAACATCTGTACAAGTTTCAGCACATCAGACAGACACAACACAACACTCATGTCGTCAACTGCATTCTTCTCTGATCACAAAAAAAGCTTTAGAGCTCCCAAATGAAAATCTCTAAAACTCTATAAACACTGTGTGCAGCTCATTTTGTTGCAAAACTATTTGCATTTCTTCTTACTCTAATGCAGAACTCAAATGCAATTCCTCAAACTTGAGTGTAACTGATCCCATGTTGGGAAATTTCCTGTATATGTGCAACTTCTAACTGATCATTTCTCAGAACACTTTTATGGTGACACTTGTTTTGGGCACCGCTGTTAGCAAAACAAACGGCACAAACTTCTCTGGATTGCGCGGAAACCTGTTTCTGCATATTTTAGGAACAAATTATCAGATGAAAGGCAGCGAGCAGACAGATAGGAGTGTTTGGAGGAGATGGGAAGTGTTGGAGGAGATTTACATTTTGGTTTTCATTCCTAAATATTTGCACGCTATTTTCCGCTGTACTTGCATTTTTTATTTTCCATTTGTGAGGGTAAAAAATACTTGACTGTGAGAAACCCAGGAATAAACTGGTGTTTATTCAGGTGGCCGTGGAGAATATTGGACTTAACTCTTGAATGCAATTGTTGTTGCTCCCCTGATACAGTTAATGATGATATAATCAGCTCGTGTGCCTTTGAACAGGAACATGGAAGAAAAAGCTGCACGGTGTTTTAGTGGCAGTGATGAACTTGCAAATAAAATTTAATCTCTTTTGACGTAAGAGTGAGAGATACTGTTTGCTTTTGCAGGACATACAGCATAATAACAACACAGTAAGGGTTGTTTTCCTTTGTTTTATAGAAAACTTAAGCTACTGAGAAAAACTGTCCTGTCCAGCAGTATTCGACTGGTCAGCTGTATGAAGCTGCAGCTGCTTGGAGTCGCTGAGACTGATGAGTCAGACGGTGAATTAGGTTTTCACGACTCCACATCGAGCTGCTTTGGTTGTTTTGAATTCACACAGAAGCTTTGGTAAAGTCAGACAGTCACCTCCATGATGTCTGCTCACAGGAAGATGATCAACTACTGTGTACAAATGTTATTAATGGAACCGATAACAAACCAAACAATGCACAGAAGTCTGTGAGTGCAGCGCAGAGAGCCGCTCGGGTTTGGGTAATTCATTTGTTTATAGTGTGGGATGGGAACAAGATGCCACATCCAATCTCGTGGCTTGTTCAACCACGTAATGGAGAATTAATAAGAGAGAGAAATGTGAACTTTGGTCTCGGTGCAACAATTGAAGCCTAACTCACTTCCCTGCTGAGCTCCAGATTCCAGATTCAGAGCAAATGAGCTGTTGGACTAATTTATGTCCTTTCAAAGGCACGTCAGAGAACTTTCAGAATTCATCTGTTTTATCATTTTCCTCAGCTGACGGGCAGAGAGAGTAACAAGGGGAGACGTCGTGCACTGATGGAGGAGGGTGAAGCTCACGGTAGTTTAACCCACGCATGTCTCAGACACTGTGTTTGTGTATTTGGATTACAATACAAGCAGGTCTGTAAATCTTAATTTCCTCCTGGCTGTCAGGCTGCAGCAGATAAGCTTGTAAGGGAAGGAACGCACTTGACCTGGTCAACATTAAACTGTTTAGCGTTCACACTCTAAACTGTTTATATATGGACGAAAAAACAAGAGGAAAAGCCTGAAAGCTCACAGGCATGAAGAACATCCATCAGCTGTAGCTGTGAAGTCTGGATGTGCGACAGCTCAATGACATGAACAGATCTGGGTTTATTTGCAGATATCACCTTTAAAGGCCCAAAACAACATGTTTTCAATCAGCTTCTGACTGTGAGTAATGGGATCCTACGAGAACACATGTTTCAGTCAAACTTTGATCACTTGTGTTTATGTCACATGCAGGATTTCTCAGTTCGTGTCTTTGTCTGTGCTTTGAAGTGGGCGAGGCTGAGTAGGAAAAAGAATGTCACTCAGTTCTCTACAGCAACCGGCTTTAGTCCAAACATCTGAGTCAAAATGCGAAGACCATTATGATGCTGCTGTCTCATGTTTCCAGGCCACCGTCATCGAGTCTGATCCAACCATAACTGCACGGTCCTGATGAAGACGGCCGGCCGGGTTTGTGAGAGTTTTTAATATTTCCTTAAACTGTGCTGCAGTTTAACGGGATGCTGAGTGTGTAAAACTTAAAATGCACTTCTTACTTCATTGCATTCTTCTGACAGTGTTCGTTAAATTACAAATTAAGATTTTTGCCCACAAAACATATAAAGAAACTTATAAAATATGATGTTTTGCTATTAATTCAGTTGCCCAAACAGCTGAAACGATTAGTCGACTAATCAGTTCGTCAACTGGCAACTATACTGATGATTGTTTAGAACACTGACGGTGACTCACACGATTTTCTGGATTTCTACAAACCAAACAATCAAGTCGAATAATGGATGGAAATAGTGAGTTGCAGAAGGTTATAAAATAGTTTAAGATGAGCTTCACTTCAAGCAAATATGACTCAAAAATCCTGCTTTGACTTTAATACACGAGTAACAACAATCTAATGAGATCACAGGTAACATCATAAGAGTCACAGCAGACGTCGTTCTGCACTTTTTCATGTAACGCTTTAAGTACATTTTCATGATGATACTTGTATACGTTCACGTCATCATCATCAAAATATTTGATTTATTTTAAATGTAATCCACCCTAAAAATGTTCACAAAATGTTCTTCAAGTGGTTAAACTTTTACTGTCTTGCTGTGAGTCAGATGAGACCCTCACAGAGGCTGTAGACAGCATCCATCCATCCATCCATCCATCCATCCATCCATCCATTATCTATACACCACTTAATCCTCACTAGGGGGGTTGGAGTCTATCCCAGCTGACTCAGGGTGAAGTCAGGTTCACCTGGGCAGGTTACCAGTCTATCACAGGGCTACACTTAGAGACAGACAACCAAGCACACTCACATTCACACCTACGGACAATTTAGAATCACCAATTAACCTCAACATGTTTTTGGACTGTGGGAGGAAAGATCCCAGGCGTCCTAACCGGGGATCTTCTAGCTGCGAGGTGATGGTGCTAACCACCGAGCCACCTTGCAGCCCCTGTAGAGAGCAGTGTTTTGGACACTTACATCATCACATTGCGTCATTACTGACAGCTGCTGAGTCTGGCTGTAAAACACAGTGCACTGCATTGTGGGACTATTAGCATAAAGAAGTGTATGTGCCATGGAGACAACTACTTTGGAATACTTGAGGGCGATGCATAGTGACACACTGACATTTACACATCAGAATTCAGACACTCAAATAAAATGGCAGACAGTGAATGTGGTTCACTAAATAGTACATGAAGCAGAAAGTGATTTCAGACTCAGCTGCTGTCCAGCACTCATCCCTCTGTGAATCTGCAACCTGTTGCCATGATTAGTCTACCAGGCTGGGGCAGACTGAGATATCTTTACTTCTGGATGGATTCTCAGTTGGTCATTTCAGGCTCCTCAGGATGTAGCACCAGTACTTTTGTTTTTGATAACACGAGGCTTGTTTCCACTGTGGGAACTTGGAGGCCGTTTAAGGGCATCCCAAGCCTTTGTGGTTTGTGCAGGAGCTGAACCTGAAGAACCTCTTTCAGAGCTGTCTTCAGGGGTGTGAGACGTGCCTATTCCAGGGTAGGGACTTCTGAGCTGCCCTCAAAAACTGCCGTGTGGATCTCAAAGCCAGTTAGTTAAAATCAGAGAGGACAACTAACGCAATTTTTTCAATGTCTGTGTGGTAGGTACTTCAGATTGCAATGAATACAGAAAGGCTGAGAGGATCAATAACAAAGCTGCTACTTGCCAAAGTTCGCACCACCCTGAGTTCCTGCAATGGAAAGTCGCCTGTAGCTGCAGAACTAATGACCTCCCCATCAGGCTCAGGTGTACGTTGTGTGTCTAAATACAGCCTTACAGAGATGCTAACCTGTAGCATGGCCATAGACTCTTGTTATATTGTACAGTTGAAACAAATATGATTTATTGACCTTAACAGCTACATGTGTTTTTTTTTTGTTTTTTTTTAAGTTTTTAATTAACCTTTGGAATATGAAGCTCCATCAGTCACAACAATAAAACCTATTTAATGTTCTGCTGGTAAAGTTTAAGTCCATTCATGTGGGTGCCACATTGACACGTACCGCCCACCTAAACACTGCCGCAGACCAAACTGATCAACAGCAGCCCCACACTGTGACCCACAGGGTTTGACTGCAAAGAGCCAGACATCACAGGACATGGAGGTCTCATGGCCCAAAAGGTCCGAACAAAAAAGACCCACACAATATAAAACAGGAGGTTTTAAGGCTCTCCTGTCACCGATACACTTCCCAAAACATCCAAAGCATTCCTTTAAGATTTATTCTAGATTTGTTGCCATAAGCTTATTGCAATACTTCACTCGAAATAAATATGAAAGTTAATTTGTTTACACCATCGCAAAACACGGAGGGATTTTCTCATCAAGAGCTCACAAAGTCTAAATATTTCAGTGCAGCAGCTGGTTTCTACTCATTTCTGAAGAGAGCTGTTCATGTTTTCACAAACCAACTAAGCCAATTATATCTAAACTATGTACTAGGTTAGTTTTTTCCAGGTAGAGTGCTGCAACAAAGGCTGGAGGTGATTCAGCAATAAAAGAGTCACTGACTGACGTGACAGAGTTCAGCTCCAGACTGTCGGGAGGCAAACTGGTTCTGGGACATCTCTCTTCTGAAGCCTCATATCTTAAAAGTTTGGCAAATCAAAGTGCACTGTTTCCAATTTGTGTTATCAAAGGGACTGTGTTATCTGTGTGTGTGTGTGTGTGTGTGTGTGTGTGTGAGGCCTGTGGCAGCTCAACTCACCAGGGAAGGTTTGATGCCAATGCTCTCGGCAGCCTGGAAAGCCAGGGTCAGATTCCGGACCTGAACAAAAACACAAACCACTGGGTGTTGAGAAAATGTGAAACTCTCTGCAGCACCACACACGAAGGGTCAAACCACAACAATAAGCTCACAACAACACTAATAAACCTTACAAATACCCAGGCGGCGGTTTAAACCCTGTTTAAGCCTTTGTTTATTTGTGTGAGCATTTCAGTGCGTTTTATGCTCCTGATGAGTCCAAAGCTTCATTGGACCAAGTCTCTTTGTAAATCTAGCTAACATCATTATGAATCAATGGATGTAGCTGTAGCTCCTCATAAAACTGCAGATTTTTTGTACATTTTTGTACAGAAAGGATGCAATAAATCAAAACTTAAGAATATAAAAATTGTCCTCCTACGTGAGTGCTGTTGATCTAAACTCAGACACATCTTGCACTTCTCTCAGTCTCTCTCCACCTAAAGCTCGTTTTTTTCAGCCCTTCAAATAAAGAGTTCAGGTTCTTGACTCACTGATCGTGACTCTCCAACCTTTATGTTAACTGCCTCGAGTAAGTCAGCACAGCTGGGGTGATGAATGAATGAATTATGAATTCCTAATAATTAGCTCTGCAACTGTCGACTGCTGCTTGAAAGAACACCTCCATTCCTTTCGCCTTAATTAGAAGTCCACCTATAAGGTTGATTTCTTTAAAACATCTATGATAAAGGGTGAAGGAGGGCAGTAATGGGATTACTGGAAGGACAGATTACTCTGGGAAGAGGTTGGGTGTTTGGGCCTCAGGGAAAGTCACTCAGCAAGAGTTATTAAAGCCAACACATGTCTATTGAATTATTCAGACAGATGGGCCTCGCGATGTCTCCGTCATCAGCCTAATGTTACACATCCACACTGACACCACCGTGTGCACACACGCCTACATGGCTGATGTGTCATACAGGATGTGTCAGGTCTGGATGGAGGTGTTAGTCTATTGTTTTAATGTTGTAGCAGGGTGAGGGACCCACAGCCCCCAGAGAGCAGTCCTATTGTTTGCAGCCTTGCTGTATATACCACCTGTATGTCCGCATTAGGGAGCCGTCATCACTGAGCGATGGCTGCTGTGCTCAGGATCACTTACAGTAAGACTAAACAAGTGCTGCATTCATAATTCATCTTCAGGCTGTCTTTTAATGCTGCGTGGACAATATGGCGGACCTATAAAATGCATACAACTACATAAAGGAAGTAATGTGCAGGTTAATGGTGGAAAAAGTGACTCCCTGCAAAATGGCTTCAAAGCATTACATGGTTTTTATTTTCCTCTTGGCAAACATGCATCTTTCAGACCTACACCGTGTAAGCAGACCATTTTCACAGTTGATGGGTTTTCCACAAGTAACTTATTGTGGCTTATGTGCAGTGTTTTATGGAGACACAATTCTGCACGTCTAAGTTGGACAACAAGCTGAACATGCACTTTGTTTGCTGTGACTTAATTCTCTCGGATTTCTTTGTCTACAAAGATAGTGAGGCTAAATGGAAGGAGAATAAAAAGATGGAAGCAGATTGAATAAATTCCCCTCAACAAAAAATGCAACAGGCTTCTCTGAATTCAAGCATAAATTCAGAGAAGAAAGAAATATCCACATCAGAGTGACTTTCTAGATTAACTCAACCTCATGCAATGCAAAGAACTTAAGCATCTGGCAAAAAAGTGTTGTAGTAACCGTCCAACACTATGCACGGTGCAGGACATGTGAGCCAGCCTAGTGTCCACACTGACATGAAAGAACAGAGATGCCTACATATGGATGTAAAAGCTTGTGTGGGTCACGACCCAATGATGACTGAAGAATGCAAGTGAGTCGGCATTTAGATAAAGAGGTCAGAGATTATGTGTGAGGGGAGATTACTTTTAAGGATGTGAGGAGAGAACCTGGGTGCATTAACCGTGTTGTACGTGTGTGCGCGTCCTTTTAATAAATCCATCCATTTCCTATCAGTTTAGTGTGCTTTGGTGCTGATTATCTGCTGATGAGGCACTGACCTACTTGTTAAGGAGTGTAGCACCTCAATGCGTGCGTGTGTGCATGTGCGTGTGAGTTCAGTCTTCCTGAAGTTTTGTACCTTATCTTGACTGATGAGTTCCTGGTAAGGGATGTGTGCCGGCAGATATGTGTGCAGGAGGGCACAGAAAGCGAGGCCGTCACTCCAACTGCTGCTGAAGTTGGTCACATCAATATTCTGTAGACACGAGGAAACAGGAAAAAAAACAGACAGAGAAGTCACAAACAGCCCAAAGTCAATAGCAGACAATGAAAATGAGCCTAAAGTGCTCGTAATTTGGGTGGGAGAGCTAATAGCCTTTTGACAACATAAACAGGCCATGGGAAAAAAAAACAGCCATTAAGTCATAGAACCACAGTAAACAACATGAAAATTAAAATTTAATGCCATTACATGCCATTCTGGGTCTTTCAGAATGCATTTAAGTCTGGTCGTGTTTCCTTTAGTGGATGCTAAAAGGATCTTCTTCCTCGAGTCCTCTCATGCCTTCGATGCTGTCTCTGATCTGTCCTCTGGGTAAAGAACGTGCATAGCAGCACGTCCAGTTTGTTGTGCTTCTGTGTGTGGGATTCGCAGAGCATCGTCACCCCATACACCGTGTACATTAGCGTCTGATAACAGTGGAAGAGTTTGGAGGAAAGACTTCCTCTGGGCTATTGTTTGCAAGTTGCAGACTCCCCGTTGGACAGATAAGTTATTTAAGGTATCTTCCTGTTTCATCTGTCTCATGAGCTTTGGGAACAGCGGCTCACAGTCAGGGAGGCTCTCCTGAGTCATAGTTTCGTCTCTGTGAGGCTCCATAAGCCTCCACACGTCTCCCATACGACTGATTCTTTCACACACGGAAACAGGGAAAGTTGCAGTGTTCTGGTCCATGTCCCTCATGTACAGGTGGGAAGACTTCGAGTCCTCATAGCAGACATGCAAAAACTTGCTAAAGCTTCAATATGCAACTTATATCACGATTATACCAAGTCAAAGAGTAACAGAATACATGGACCATTGTTACGTAAACAGCATGCAACAAAAAAATGTAACCTCGTATCTGCCTCCAATACAAAAAAGACCACAGTTCACTAGGTCATGTGCCTTTAGCCACATTGATGGAGGTACTTCATCACGAGTTTTACAGCATTCAATTTGCTGCACAATGTCACATCTAAAGCATCTGATCAGAAAGCAGCAGAGTCCAATGACAGCAACAACTTCATGAATTACTTATAACTCTGTGAGCTGCCACACAGAGTCCCAGTTGACCAGCTGCACTTAAACCATCACTGTTAATCCTCAGGTTGAGTCTTAAACTCCATCACAAGAGTCGCAATATTTTCATTTAATTGTTAGTGAAAGTACACACATGCAAACACACGACAGAGCAACATAAACGTGAGTAAACGTGATCCGTTGGATAATTCTTTTCTCTTGCCTTTATCTACATTTTTGGTGTTGAGGTAATCCAAATGTAATAGAAGATAATGGAGTCCCATTACTTTAATACTGTAAAATGGATTAGGGTACTGAGCACATGTGTTTAACGGGTAATTAGTACTGGTATTGGAACACATTTTTAAAGTAATTCTCCCAACTCTAGGGTAAATGGTCTGCATGTATATAGCACTTTTATCCAAAGCACTTCACAATGTGTTTCTCATTCACCCATTCACACACACATTCATACAGCGATGGTGACAGAGCTGCCATGCAAGGTGCTGCCTGACATTGGGAGCAACTTCAGGTTCAGTGTCTTGTCCAAGGACATGTCGACCGTGGAGGGGCGGGGGATCGAACCAACCTTGCGACTGGAGGACAACCTGCTCTACCACCTGAGCCACAGCAGCCGTATGTTTGAGGCTGGTTCCACAAGGTAGTCAGTCCCCACAGTACAAATAAACATGTCTACAAGCAAAACTGCTGTTTAGAAAACCTGTGGGTAAGAGAGGACTAATGCATCTTTACATACAGTGTATAATATTATATAATAATGAGGCCAGCATGCTGATGTTTAGCAGGTATAATTGATTGTGTTTGTGTGTAACAGTACAAGGTACAGCTGAGGATGGAGGTTTAGTCAGACGCTAACTCACATCTGAAACACTTTATTAAAGCATCATAAAATAGCTAAAGTTTGGTTTCTAGACTCTGAGATATTTCTACATGTCAGGGGGTAATGAGAACACATCCTCCCCTGGAGCCTTCAGGTGGATGCTGGGGTGGTGGAGGGGCTGCAGCAGCACTGACATGCCAGAGAGAGAGCTGGGAAATTTCTGAAGCTTAAATAGGCGGCCAAATTACAGGGGTGATGATGTGTGGAGCGTGAGGCATGTCACAAGTGTATGCAGCAGTGCCGCTTAAGCTGACCTCCTGACTTTGCTTGCAGGTGTCGCTCCACTATTAGACACATTCAGAAGTTGACGAGATGACAGTTCTGCACTGAAAGTAAATGATCACTAAAGTTATTATATGTGTGGCTCTCGGGATAATGATTTGAGCTATTTCACTAAAAACATCATTGTCAACTCTGTGGAGGCAGCAAAGTTAGAGGTTGAGGCCCAAGTACAACTATCCAACCATATCAAAAACATCAAGTGTTTATACTCTATACACACCCACACCCACACTTCTAGGCAGGGCGGAAAACCAGCTGTCACAGGAAGGAGGCAGATGATATGGTTTTATGCAAGATAACAGATTTTCAGACAGTCTCTCCTCTAATGCATTCATGGTGTTGAACTATATTACACATTTTTATGCTGCGGTATGATTGTGACCAGAGCTTTCTGTGCTGCAGAACGGTCTGGCTATGCAGGACTACAATTAACCCGTCTGAAAGGTGCTATACAAACAAAGTTTGATTTGTTAAAAAGTAATAAACACAGTGTGTTTCAGGGTAAAGTACTGCATTAAATATCTAAACATCTGTGTCTGTACACAGCATTTGCTTCAGTGAGATGCTAAAGATGAGACACACTGCAATATATTTGTTTACTGTTGCTCTAAGCCAGTGGTCTTCACTTGGGGCCCTGAGGACCAGAGTATGGCTGATTTTCATTCTACAAATCTAATCAGCGACTGATCCATAAATGTGACGCCAAGTGAATGTAATTAGCTACCTGACAGGGTAGAAAAACAGCACAACTCTGGGTCCTGGGGACACAAATTTAAAAGCCCTGAGCTCCTCAGAATTGTTGACAAATGTTATTTCTCATTGCCTTCTCACGTCTCCTGGCTGTGGAGGCCGGTTATCTCAGCTGAAAGCTTGAGGCAGTTTTAAGGTGAGAGGCTAAAACACAGAGGAATAGAGGGAAACGGTGACATGTTGGTTTGTTGTTAGTATACGTTTATTGCTTACCACTGATATGTAAACGTGTCTTCAGCTAAACGTCACTCATTTATGTTCATGTATTCTCTAGTCATGTAGCAGCACAGATCTAGTGTCAATTCACCAATAAAGACTCAAGAATAAAAACATCTTGACAAAAACCTCACAAGACTCTTTCCAACAGTAAATCCCACATGCTCTCCTTGCCTGTCCTACTGGTGCGTGCACAGGGAAAAAAACACAGAGAAAAAAGAGATTCTTTTGATAAAACCTAAAGCAGCAACTCAGTGCTTGTTGGTGTTAGTGATCAAATTAAAACACAAACTTGGGATTTAGACTCTGATTTATATATGCTTTTTACTTTCCCTTTAACATGTTTATTTGTTGTTGTTTACATGCTGGTAGATATGTCACGAGTGGAAAAAAGCAGCCCACACCATGACACACCTACACTGCATTTTGTGCAGAGTAGCACAGAGTAGTTTTACAGTGCTTGAGCAGAGCCGTAGGTGAGCTGGTGTGCTCAAGCTGCAATGAGTGGGAAAGTGTTGGTTTCCATGGAGACGTGTAGATATTAAATCAATGACTTAAATTTGTATTCTCATTTTAACATGTTAATTACAGCATCATTATTTCCTTATTTATTTTCCATCTCTTTTTGCAAAAATCGCAGCTCTATTTTTTTTGTTTCAAACCCAGAAAAACGCAAACATTCTTCCTCACTTTCATCACTCGAGGTTTAAACTGTTGCATATCCCTTTTTACTGGGTTACCTAAACAGTCTATAAGCAAACTGCAGCTAGTTCAGAACCAGTTGGCTGGAGTCTTGACTCAAACTAAAACATTTGATCATATTGTCACGCTGCTTAAGAGACTGCAACGGCTGCTTGTGTCTTTTAGAACTGATTTAAAAGCTTTTACTTTGTTATATGCTTTCAGAAGCTTTAAATAACCTTGTTCCTCCCTAAATCAGAGAAACTCATTCATTTTATGTTCCAGCCAAATCATTAAAGTCCTACACTGCTTTTCTTTTAAATGTTCCTTCTGTGGCCCATAAAATACCAGTGGGGCTGCCTTCTGTTTGCATGTTCCTAAACTTGGGAACACACTGTCTCTTGATATGAGAATGGCATCCTCTCTTGATATTTTTAAAAGGAAATTAAAGATATTTTCAATCTAGTTTTTAATCAGATCATTTGTACCCCTGTTGTTTGTTTATTGTATTGGATTTTATTTATCTATTATCAACATTGTATTATTTTATCATTCTCGTCTGTCTTGTTTTAATGTTGCCATGTTATGAACTTTGGGCTGCCTGTTTGTATGAAAGGTGCTATAAATGAGGTTTAACAAGCAAAAACAAAACCATACATAAATTCACAAACTATACACATATGAGTAGTTATTAATGTGAACCATACAAGTAATTACAAAAAATAATTTCCAACCTTAAGGGACAACAAAAACCTACTGGGTGGGTGTTTATTAATTCTATTACATGCATGTTTTTTTTTTCCACAAGATTAATTACAGTGGGCTGCAAGGTGACTCTGTGGTTAGCACTGTTGCCTCACAGCAAGAAGGTCGCCGGTTTGCGTCCCGGTGAGGACACCCGGGATCTTTCTCGTGGAGTTTGCATGTTCTCCCTGTGCAGCGTGGGTTCTCTCTGGGTTCTCCGGCTTCCTCCCACAAGGTCCAGAAACATGTTGAGGTTAATTGGTGACTCTAAATTGTCCGTAGGTGTGAATGTGAGTGTGCTTGGTTGTCTGTCTCTAAGTGTAGCCCTGTGATAGACTGGTTACCTGTCCAGGGTGTCTCCTGCCTTCACCGTCAGCTGGCATAGATTCCAGCCCCCCAT